TTGCAAAACCCTTGAAAGATAGTCTGCCATCGTTGACCCGTTCAATGCTCGTTTATCAGTACTCGTGCTCTTGTGGTACACGATACGTGGGTCGCACAACGAGACGTCTATCCCAGAGGATTCGCGAGCACATCCCGGCGTGGTTTTACAAAGGCGAAATGAGGGCCTCAGACAGCTCAATCATGTCGCACCTCCTCGAAAGTGGCCATACTGCATCGGAGAATGACTTTAAAGTCATCTATTCACTACCTGAACGCTTATCACAAGGCTTCCGAAAGCAAATCTTGTCTATCGCCGAGGCTATTTACATCCATCATCTGAAGCCGGAATTATGCGTACACAAACGATTCATACGGCCGATACTACTACCTTGGCCGACTGACATGGTTACTTAACTACCCTTTGTGACCTTAGCTATTTACTTTAGGCCCTGAAGCTTGTATTAATTTCCTTTGATGCACTTTTCCTACCATCTGTAGCCACCTTTAGTCATCGATCTTGACCTTTCAAACACCTTAGAAATCAATCCCAGCCCGATTTGACGCTTACCCCACATAATCCGTGTCATGTAAAAGTTTGGGTCTGACGAGATTTTACCGAAAAGATATCCACAAGTTGTCAAAACGTTCGGAGTTTTGGGCTGAGCATTTTGAGAAGCAAGTTAATCGGCTGTAATGGTTAGATTCCTCACCGGCCAGTGATCCCTCTGCGCCCTGGACTGTCCCTTTGGATCCGCCCTCTCGCTCAGAAGTCGAACGTGAGATCGCACTGTTAAAGCCGTGGGACTAGATGATCTTCCTCCAGCTTTCTTCAAATTCAGGGGCTCTGCTCTTGTTGATGATTTACACGAGTTACTAGTGAAACTTCGGTGGCAGGAAACTGTCCCAACGGGCTAGAGCCGCTTCATTATTGTACCCATATTGAATGGAGGCGCACGATGGGAATGCAGCAACAATAGAGAAAGCAGTCTGACAAAATCGCCTACAAATTGCTTAATCGGTCATCCTTCACAGACTGACTGGCACTCATGAAGGCCAGATTCGTGAAGAGCTGCATCGACCACATCTTCGTTTTGCGTCAATTGTTGCAGTACCGTCACATCTATCGGCAGTCTACCGTTGTCTTGTTCTTCGACATCAAGGGTGCCTTTGATTCGGTTGGTCGATGTGACCTTTTGGAACTGTCTACTCAGGAAAGATGAGCCCGAGAAATAGGTATATTATCCGAGCGTTATAAGCGCGTAGCTCGGGCAGAGTAAGAGCTTACGGCAAGCTGTCGCCACCCTTCAATATCTCCAGCAGTGTGAGAAAAGATGCCCGCTGTCACCTTTACTCTTCAACTTCGTTATTTACGAAGTCAAGGAGATCACATTCACAGGACACGACTTAGAAGGTGTGCAGCTGCTCCCAGGCGAACAGCTTCTTGACTTGGAACATGGTGACGATATTGTCCTAATCTGTGATTGCACCCAAACGTAACAAGCGGCATCGAAGAGATTAGCACTGGCTGTCAACTGTTTCGGGATATGCTTTGCACCCTCGAAATGCAAAGCTTTACTCCAAAATTGACAGGGACAGTCACCCGTGCCGACTTTTGGTGGGGAACAGCTGGAAGTTGTTTAAAAGTCCAACTACCTGGAAAGTTCTATCACCGCCCCTTGGAGCGAAAACGAGATCACGAACCGTATAGGGGAAGTTCGAGGCGTTTTTGCTAGCCTTTACCAACTATGGCGCCGGCACAACATAATCTCTCCAAGAAGGGTAGAGTTTACAATACAACCATCTGTTCAACTTTCCTTTACGGCTGTGAAACCAGCCCCATTAGATCAGCAGACATAAAGAAGCTAGTCAGGTTAGACCCCCGGTGCTGTCGCAGTTTGGTTCACATCTGGTGGGAACACCGCGCGAGTAACGAGCGAGTTCGACGCCTTGTTTACGGCATAGGAAAAGGAAATGAACCGCTCAGCACCGTCATTTCACGCACCAGGCTCCGATGGCTGGGTCACGTGTTGCGCATGTCACGCCACCGGTTCCTGCGACGTGTGTTGGTTGTGCGCCGGGGGTGTGGATGGAAGAAGAGGAGAGGTGGTCAAGCGATGACTTGGTCGAGAGCAATGAAGGCCCTCACTTCGAAGCTGGCCTCGGTTGGAGCGTCTCGGCTCCCTGGTTAGGGTCCGAAAGACGATGAACACGTTTGGCTGGATACAGTTGCTGACATGGCTAGGAGCCGATTTCAATGGCGTTCGTGCTGTGAGTTGCTTTGTCCCTCTCCATCCCTCTTAGCATCCCCCTCCAACCGCGATCTCATTTCTTAGCATAATATAAATTTTGCATAATAAAATTTGTTTGCTGTATAGCAGCTAGCTGGTAACTTTGCTAAACCATGCCCATCCGTTACTGGCAGCTCAGCTGACGTGCATTTGTTGTAGGTGTTCTTGCTTTTCTGGTGTATTGAGGCACTGTAGCGGGTCCATTTTATTGTGACCAACCGTATTCTAGGTGACTTCCCCATGTTGGTACTGCTGCGCTACTTGCGAACGCCATGCAGCATAAGTGGACGCCGGTAAATGCTTGCGGTGCCGGATAGATAGCAAGTTCCTCAACCTCTATGCTTCATACGAAGAGTGGCAAATTTTTGGACGGTCTGTCAGAACATGCTGTGCAGGCCAAATCTGTGAAGCGACTCGAAACGTTTCTGGATTTATCTGTCTCTACTGTTAGATTCCGAGAACGATTACACACACTTTTGAATCCCAAGTTACTGTAAGTTATACGCTTTCTATGATAGCACGTGGGTACTTGAAATACGAGCAGCGTTGACATGCCACAGATAAATTGTTGGTTTCATTTTTAACGTTTTGGTCATAATCTGAATGGAATGTACAGAATTAACCTACCTGCTCACACAGTACAGTATACGAAGTAATGTGACTAGTAAACATACAAGGTTACTCATTGTATATATATATATATATATATATATATATATATATATCAGCTTGAGGAAAGATAAATGTGGTGTTAGAACCTTGTCTGAAATGGAATGTAAGTAGGTTTGTTTAACAAACAAAGGAAAACTGCATGTTTAGTTGTTTTTTAGTGTTTCCCATACACCGTGTTTGTTTCAAATGGAAACCTGGATGAAAAAGTTATGTTAGAACAGTAATGGCGTTACGATGGTAAGCCTCCATAGGCCCTAACATAGTCAGATGCGTGAGGATAGCTTTTACATGAATGCGACAAATTTGTCGGGTACACCAATTCTTAGTAGACAGTTCCAAAAAGATGTTCTATCTATGGAGTCAAAGGCGGCAGAGATATCCGAAAACACCCTCATTATTGGTCGTCGGCGGACGTCACGATGTTCAAGAATTTGACGCAGCCTGAACATTTGGCCGATTCAACCTCGACCGGTACGAAAACCAGCTTGTTCCTCGCGAGACAAACTCTCTCGAGTAGCTGAAAGGCTGCGGAGCAATATGGACACAAAAACTATTCCTCGGTAGTTGATGCAACCGGTGTAAAAGCCTATCTTGTAAATTGGGACCAAAATAGATTCGCTCAAAGAGTTGGGAATCTTCTCATCGACCCACACTTTGGTGATAAACTAGAGCAGTTGGCTAATAACTGCATCCCATTCATCTTTGAATGGGAGCGGAAAAAGGCTACCAGGGCCTGGGGCTTTGAATGGTTTCTGGATCTGGATTTCTCGCAGAATAGCTGCCTCAGTAGGAGAAGCTGTGCACACGGGCCATGTATCAAATCGTAGCAAAGGGGATATCACAAGAGGTCGAGCTAGATAACTAAACTGAAGTGATCCAGACGGTTGCGTAGGTTAGTGATCCTCGTACCGCCTAACGCACAGGTTGTCTCACTGATGGTATGTCGCGACTAGTTCTAGACAAAATATACAGAATCAAGTTGAACCTTACAATTGCTTCGAAACACAACACAAACATACGCAGAAAGCTTAATCAATTTCCAACAGATACCTCCGCCAGCATCTGTAAAAGGGCGGGATTCGAGAAAATCCGAACCAGTAGCGTGAAAACCAGCGAAAGGTGTGAATGTGTTACAGACCTCAGAGTTGGGTAGGCCCTTGGTCACGGTTTACCATGCGCACAGAACAGTGAAGCGACTCAAGATTGGCATATCAATTGAACTGATGTCGAAATAATTCTACCCAATCAGTCAGATAGCACAACTAGTTTTGAATGCCCCACCGGTAAGATTATAGCGCGATGGTCGTGCGCTATATATCCGGCACGAAACCAGACGGCTAACCAAAATCAATGGGTAAAAGATACAAATAAAGTTACGGAAAAATGTTTATTAGACGGGAGGGTTAGCTAATGCTAAAAATAGGGCACCAGAAGAGAGGATGTAGTTGGGCGTCAAGCGCGTGGACGGAGCGTTGTTTGCAGTCGAGTCGCGCGCCAAAGGCCGATATCATATTTGTGTTGCAAACAAACGGGAACAACGTTCCAACAGACAAACCGCCTAATTCTCTAATACATAAGAAAGCTATAGTTTGAATATATTTTAGAATAATTTACACAGTCATACGGTCTTCGAATTCAAGACGCTGTATTTGCGGACCAGATCTTTAAGATCAAAGAGTGTGGTTCCTTAAGTCATCCCCCTTCGTCAGCCTGGGCAAGCGGGAAGCTCATTGCCCACCCAATACATGGATCTCCGCATCCTTCCCTTGACTCTCTTTTTCTGCTTTCTGTTGTTGTTACCCATGTTTTGTGGCACTCTGCAAAGTGTTTATTGGTCACGTGTTAATATATAATATCTTATATATATATACATATATATATATATATGTTTTAGCCACAAACGAATGGATATGCATAAAATCGTAGACAGAACTGAAAGTAATTTGCAGAAAGCAAGTGGAGAGATGTAAGAGGAACTGAATTCTCCAATTCAAGAAGCAACAAAACAGCTGCACAAACGCTCACAAAACAGAATTAGACGGTTGAAGTAAGCGCTCACTCGCAGAGTTTTATGATGCTCTTGAAGCCTCGCTTTCCGAAGGGCGGCAGGCATACTTTCATAGAGCTTCCTTGTGTTCTCTAAACGTATTTTCGCGCGGTTCAATGAGAATTCAGCCAGCCACATTCGCGCTTCGGCTAAAGTTGGAGGACCCTGATGATACCAAACCATTGAACTCTAAAAGAGAACAACATGCACCATGTTGTATCTGAATGTCCACACGTCCAGAAAGCACAAAGCACCATCTTGATTTGATAATTAATGGGAGTCAAGGGCACAAGAGTAGAACTGACGTGAATTGGAGCAGACAACCTAAACATCGAGATTACTGAAAAGGTCACTGGCGGTGAGGTGAATTGTGGAGTGCCGTAGACGCACGGCCGCGTGACACGTAGAGGATGTAGCTGCAAGGTGAGTGGCTAGAACAAGAACATACATAGTAAAGCATGATGAAATTCCAACTGCCCACACATCGAACAAAAGAGTTCTGGCGTGGCATCCAGAAATTGTGTCAAACACAACGCCCCAGATTAAGGAAGTGATGGTGAATTGTAAAACAACAGAGGAGTCTCGCTCACCTGAGCATCCGATGGCGCACATTGTGGTAGACAAGTTCCCGAGAAGTTCAACACACCAGACCGTCATGCCATATGGCAAACTTACGCTAAACGAAAAATGGACAACGACTGGATCCGTTGCATTCAGGTGTACGGATCAAAAGAGGCAAGTCGAACCGGACTGAAATCTAAGCACTCATCCGCAAGGCCAGGAGAGTACATTTGTGGAATCCGTAAGCACTAGTTAGATAAGCATTTGACGTGCCTCAAGACGCCGCTCTGTGTAGCCCAATGGATGCTTGAGGTACGCACCAGTTATGATGTTCCATTCGCGTTGTGATGCAATGGAATGTAAAAGTCCGCAAATCTGGTTTTAGACGGACGTCAATGGTGACCTAAAACTTACGTATATGTGCGTGTCCAAAGTATGACGTCTGCTCAAGTCGAAGCGACTACAGTTGTTACCGTGTCAGTTTAGTCAACCGTCGTGTGAATTGGGTCTTTTCCGGCAACATCAGCTAGTGACCATATTGGATCATTGTGTGCTAGACTTAATTATCGCAATTGTGAGGAAATTAATGTCTAAATGCGAGTATTGGGTATGCGGAAGATGATAGCTGGAACCCACATCAGGAACGGATTGAGAAGGTTCTGAACCGCCTTCAGTCGATTGACCAGTAGAATCGGAAGCAGAAACAGTTGGGGTCGGAAGTGGTGGGCGAGCAGCAGGACCACCAGTGACAGCAAGAATCATCCGCAGCCGCTCCCGCCGATCAGCGCCATCTTCACCGAACAAACCTATGTGCAAGTGCAAGTGATTGAAGAAAGATGATGAAGTGGCTAACAATGAGAACGTTTTGGGTGAGAAAAGAATGGCACAAAGCAGTTACAGTTAAGATAAAATTAACTCAGGGCTGGTAATTAGCGTGGAAAAAGGTTAGTAGCTAGAGGGGTGTACACGAAAATAAGATACTTTTACGTACAAATGGGCTCGCCGAGCTGTCGAAGATAGGCTTTCACTTCCGAATCTTCCGTGGACACTTGAATCATACGTGCCTGAATTTAAGAAAAAGAAATAGCACAAGCTATGTACAAGGCCAAGCGCATGCAGCCAACAGTCTCAGGAGAAATCAAGATCTTTGCAGCATCAAAAGGTCAAATATTGTGTTGGGTAGTAAATACTACTTCCAGAACCGAAGGGAGCATATGGAAGCATGGGGTGCTACGACGAAGAGTACCGAAAGGAACAAACGCAAGCACAAAAATAGTTTAAGTACTGAGACGAGCTCGAATTTAGAAGAGTTCCACGGATAGAAAGGGAATCTGCACCGCTTGCAGTGAGATGCAGGCTTATTCTGCAGTTGTTGTCACTTCATATTAACTCCAAAGCCTAACCCAAAAGGTAGTAGGGAGCACGCTCAACCCAAGAGCCCTGTATGAGCAAGGCAGGAGAGAAGCTCCAAGTAGGACCAGAGTGACCAGTGCAAAACCTAACTGGTGTGGGTAGACCAACCACAATCAGTATAGAGGGCGAATGTGACCTCATTGGGCCGTTTCAGAAAATTTGAGGAGAACAGTGATGAGCAAGCGGGTAGTGCAAATGCTCTCGCTATCAGAGATAGCTCGTGACTCAAGTTAGGTCAAGCGATCGGTTCTAAGAATGCTCGATATCTTTCCCCAATTCTCAAAGTGGAAGACGTTCAAAACAGTAACCAGGCATGATCGGAGCAGAAAGCCCCTCAGAATTGTGAACCGGTATTTCGTGGCGGAGCTGTATGCTATCGGACGCGTCCACAGATTGCGGATTGGGGAGTGCCTTACGTCTAGAGGTAACTGCGAATAAGTCCCGTTTGCTTTGCAGGCGAGATGAATAAGCAGTCGCGGACAATCAGCGGCAGCGTTTCAGAGCGTGGGAAAATCTAGGCCGGTGACCTGGTTCACCATCAAATAGCACAAAAGCTCGTACGGCACTGTGTCAAAGCCAATGTGACCGGCTATAGGGTCACTGACCACTCACTTCTGTAGTCAGAAGTGAGTACCTAAAGGAGGACGGATAAACAACCTTGCTGATCAGTGGCTTCAGCCTGGACGGATACGAAACACATAGAAGGCGAATGAGCAACCTGGCTGTCAACGGTAATCGTATTGTATGCAACATGCGTGAATCGCCCGCTGCACTGCGGGTCAGGTCTTTAGGACCAAACGCTCAGGGTGCGGTCCCTTAAACCAACCATCTAGCTCGGTCTTGACAAACGGGAAGATCACTGCATTCGCAACACATGAACCCACATAACCAATTACCTGACGGCCGTTTTACCTCCTTTTTGCTATTTTTATTCATGTGTTGCGTCAATATACCGATTGTTTATTGGTCGCGTTATACATATATGGTTGGCGGCATCCGGTTTCGGATTTGCCTGTCACTGTGGCAAGCCACAGGACGCCTGCGCCTACAGAGGGACCAAGGGTGTCTTGCGCTGCACCACCCACAGATCCATCCACACACCCAATATCCAGTGTAAACCCGAAGGAATAAGATCGGGAGGCATGTGGATGGGAACCACGTTTCATCAACGGAGCCGGCCCACACTCCTTCACAGACAAACACAATCAAGCTGTACTTGGGGAATCAACCGCACACAAGGCGGTGGCTGGACCGTAGTCCGCTCCACACTGAGTGCATGGTACCACTCTTCGAGCCTAACACGGCCACAAGAACCGTGCACCCTGTCCCCTCCAGCAACGACCAACTGTCTCCTGGAGCTAGTATGGACGTAGCGGGTAAGAGACAGGTAAGCACCTTGTCAATATGCACATCAAGCGCAGACACACGGGGGATATCAAGCAACAGCCAATCACTTGAAACGACGATATCAAACAAAATAAATCGGATAATGCATATAGATCCGGTGACTTAGCTCTTCAATAAATGAGCGCATGAAACTAATTGGTTGCCAGAAAATCCGCTGTCAGGAAATATATTTTAATAAAATGCCATAAATACGATAATCTTACCGAAGTAAACTACAATTAACTTGAGCGAAGTGTGCAAGTTAATAGAAGAGATTTCACATAGACATTAATGAGACAACATAGCAAACCCACCACTTGAAATAAAGAGACCCAGCATGCAAGCAAGCAGTTAGTAAATCAAATGCAGCGTACTTACAAACGCTGCGCCGGTTCTGCCAGCGTTCTCAGCAAGACCCGTTGCCGTTTCGGTGCTGGCCCCGAGTGGCCTCGCTCATGGCTCATTAGGCCTGTCTGACTCAGGCACTCGCGACCGCATGTGCTACAGCCCCATGCGCTCGATGTCGATGGAGTACAATCCATCGGTGGTTGCCGATTCCGCACTTGCCGCTTCTTCTCCGCATGCATGAGGTGATTCTATTGCACGTCGGCAACTGCCTTCGTGGTCAGATCGCGCCGAACAGCCGCTTTCGATTACCATGACCTGCAATCAAGAGTAGAACGTGAGGGGCTCACTCCTGGTAAGGAAGATTCGGTTTCCAGACATGCCGCTTCCCCACACACAGCTGATCGTATAATAGCTGCTTCGGTATCCGCGTCGAATCCGTACGCCACACATGACCGAGCCACCTCAGGTGTCTCAGCAAAAGTACGCAGTCCACTGCATACATTTCACCTCGGCGCAACACTTCTGTGTCTGCAACTCTGTCACACCAAAAGATGCGCAGAATCCGTCGCAAACACTGCTGATAGAACCCCTCGAGATATTGCACATCCCTTCAGTACATCGTCCACGCTTCAATGCCGTACAGAAGAACGGAGAGCAACATCGATTTGTACACCATCAGCTTCGTGCCAAAGGTAAGCTGATGGTTGTTCCACACTCGGTACTCTAGTTTCTCAAATGCCGCCGCTGCTTTCGATACGCGGATACGAAGCTCACTGTGTATCTGCTGATCAATCGACATCACACTCCCAAGGTAGCAGAAGCGGGAGGTGGTTTCCAAGACTTCACCACCAATGCTGATTCGCGAGACTATGGAAGATTGCACCTCCGGTGAAGGCTGAGAGAGAGACAGTTTTGTTTGTGTTGATGGTGAGCCCGAACATGACCGCTATCGAAGAGTGATCCCTACTCGTGTCTGCAACTCATCCGCGCTGTGTGCAAACAACGCACAGTCGTCACCAAACAGCAAAATACGGATAGTTGTCTTACAGACTAGAGTTTGCGCACCGAAACGACCGATGTTCAGCAACACATCATCAATACGGTGCTCCACACGAACACCGTAAACACAAGCCGCATCAAAAGCACAAGACAACATTGCATGAAGATATATATTAAACAGGGCAGGAGCTAAGACAAAGCCTTGCTTCACACCAGTGACAAGTGCAAAGTTATCCGAGGTCTCTCCACTCAGCTGCACCCTTGCCCGCATACCACTGTGCAGACATGCAATTAAAGTTACAAACTTACGCGAGCAACCAAACTTACCCAATAGCAGTCACAATGCTTCGCGGTTCACTGTATCAAATGCCTTGGTAAAATCAACAAAATGAGAGTACAACGGCAGGTGTCATTCTCTGCGCTTATCCTGCAACTGACGAGCCGCAAACATCATATCTATAGTGCTGCGACCCGAGCGGAATCCACACCTTGTTTCCGCAACGTTAGGTTCCACAACCTGACTGACGAGGCGGTTGAGTAAGATTCGAGCAGTCACCATGTCCACACAACTCAGCAAGTTGATGCCACAATAATTCGTGCAACATTACTTGCTCCCTTTGCTCTTGTACAGTGGTAGCAAAAGCATATCCTTCAGCTCAACAGGCACCTCCTCCTCAATCCACACGCGTTGCACCAAGTGGTGCAGAGCAGTCACCAACGCGGGTCCGCCGTGTTTCAATAATTCAGGCCAGCACACTTGCCGTTTCGCAAATGAGCAAGTGCTCTCTGCATCTCACCCAGTGTCGGCGTATCTGCCAGACTCGCCTTCACATCGTGCTGCTTCAGGCCGTTCAAAGTAGGCCGGGGTTGTTCAAGAGATCTTCATAATGTCTGCAGTCTGTGTGCAGGTAGCGCCTGAACTACCGTCGATCAGATTACTCAGCGGCTCCAACCTCGGTCCATACATTGCCTTCAAAGAGTCAAAGAATTCCTTGTATCGGCGGTGTTCGGCGCACCATCCCATCTGCTTCGCCTTCTCCGTCCACCATGCATCTTTAATGCGACGGTGCTCTCGGGTCAGTCGTCATCGATGTCGCC